AAACCAAAAATATATATATATATATATATATATATATATATATATATATACTGAAATTAATTATAAAAGAGATAAATGCAAATCAAATGAATCAATTAGTTCTGACCCTCGAGTTCAGTCACCCTCCAACCAAGTGAAAACACTGCTAATGTATGAATAGAGTAACAAGGTATTGAAAGCTGAAATAAGGTAGTGTATTGCTTTTCCTTGCCAAAAGAAGTTTTTGCTCTACAAATGATCAAAAACCCTTTATATAGTAGGGAAGTCCTATTTTTAATATAATTTTAAATACAGAAGGAATCTCATGATAGATTAATTAATTGGCATCTCCTTGATATGCGTCGGGCTTTTCGTCGAGATTCTCGCCCTAATTGCGGATATACCTTTTTTTTGTTTTTTGGCTCGATCTCGATCTTGGCCGATCATGATCTTGATCGGTCTCGATCTTGACCGATCTCGAACGGTCTCTATTTTGCTCGGTTCTCGATCTTGACCGATCTCGAGCCGAACAAAAAGTTAAACTAAAAAAAAGAGGCCCCGCTTCTCCCAAACTCCATGGAACAATAGCTCCATAGAAGTTGCAGCGAACATACTTACGCAAATTTACTGCGTGATTTTTTTTTCTTGCTATGGCATCTAGTTCAATTTGCATGATAAACACAAATTGCATTATATTTAAGATGAGTTTAATTTAATCACTTCCACATAACAGAAAGATTTTAAAAATGATTGTTTGAAAGATATCATAAACCGTTGGACTACCCCTAGTTTTCCATCCCACATTATTGTCAAGAAAATCATTGGCTCATTCATGCTACACTTTCTTGTTTGTTTAATTTGTTCATGAACATTTTATTCGATGATAATGCTATACACGAGATTAATCAAGAAAATGAACACATGTAAATCCACGGGTTAGATGGAAGTGGGGCGTCTTTTTTGTATTTGAACTTTTTATTCGGGTCAAGTTAGTGTTTGGGGTGGGTTAGTCCGAAAAATGGGTAGATATGGGTGGGCCTTTCTAATAGGTTAGATGTTTTAATTCCGATCAATAAGAAGTTGCCACGTGGAATTTAAAATAATTATTTTTTAAATTCAGCATTGACCTAACGATCAAAGGGCATAAATGAACCAAAAAGGTGGACGAAGGGATATTTTTAGCCTAATAAGTAGATGAAGAGTATTTCTAGACCTTTTCAATTGTTCAGGGGCATTTTTGACCCTTCTCCGTATATAAAATGGTATGATACAAATTTTATAAAATAACTAGCCGAACCAAATCATTGGCACCCCTACTGTTAAGTATAATAGTAGTTGCACAATACAAATTCTAATTAGTTGGAAAAATGAGTTCCGAATATTGAATACTTAAAAAAGAACGTATTATTGTCAGACCTTTTTATAACAACATACTTATATAATATCACTTCACTATAAAAATCAAGTTTTTTTAGTATCAAATATCATGCTTTGTTATAATATATGTTCTCTATAATAACAATTTCGTATAATATACAACAATATTCCAAACAAACGAGACTATTATAGTACTTTTCATGTATCTAAAGTTGGGAACCCTGCTTTATGTTGTCTTTTCTTATATTTGAAAAATGGTCTAGGATTGATTGACTAACCCGTTTATGCCGGGCGGACCTTTAAAAAACCCGAATTAATAATTAGTTCATTGAAGCTTAAACCCTCGTTCGTCGATAACCTAGCCCTCTTTTTGGCATCGCCTACATTTGAGCATGTCCTGCCCCCTCTTCGTAGCTGCACCTCTCCTCTGAAACTCGAGAAAAAGTACAACAATTTTAAGCTTCAGAGATGCTCGAAGTATATAGAAGCAGCTCAGTTGAGTGGAAGCCGTCGCCAGTAGTAGCCCTAGCTACTAGCGCCGACGATTCTCAGGTCGCCGCAGCTCGAGAAGACGGCTCTCTTGAGATTTGGCTTGTTTCTCCTTGCTCCGTCGGCTGGCACTGTCAACTTGTACGACTATATATATTTATTTATTTGTTCCTCGTTTTTTTTTTGCTTTACAATATGTGATTGAGTTTTTTTACTCCTTCTGTTTCTGTCTGTGTAGATAATACATGGAAATCCTAATTCTAGGGTTTCTTCGTTAGTGTGGTGTAAATCGGGGTCGAGAAGGTTGGATGCAGGTCGGTTATTTTCGTCCAGCATTGATGGATCAGTTTACGAGTGGGATCTTTTCGATTTGACTCAGAAGGTACGTGTAATTGGGTAATAAGTATATGCGTATATTGATTGATTGAATTGGAGGAACTACTTATGCTATAATATACTCGTCCAAGGGACCTTAAAAGGTATACACTATTTAGTAGCAGAGGCATATCCAGGATTTTAAGACCATGGGTGCACTATTTGAAATCAGTGAAAGATTTGTCATCCTTTGAACTTCCGGAGCTATTTGTGAACTCACTGATGACTGAGTAGTACTAGAACTTGGCTCACCATTTATCGGTTTGGTGAGATATCTGTCAATTTCAATGTTAAGGATTATCGTTCCTACAAAGTTAAACATTTACACTTTTATTCAATCTATCTTAATTCAAGTAGAATTGTATGATTCAAATCATAGAGTACTTGGATTTAAGGGACACAAACGAATCGATTACTACATTAGATCAGTTTTATCATTCATTGGCTTCATAGTATGATTCTTTCTTTGATTGTTAGTAATTACTTCATTTTTAGAGAATTCTTAGCAGAAGTTCAAACTCTAGTTTTTAACAGAGTTCGATCTTATGTTATCTTGGCCCAAAATACTAATAATTAGTCAGAAATTAAGTTCACATAGCCCCTACTTAACTAAACTCGATCAAGCATTTTCTCAAACACAATATGAATACTGCCAATATTCAAGACTTTAAAGCCATACATCTCCCAAATTCTCCCAAGAAAGCATTCAACAACTCAATCTTAGAAATAAACAATAATAATAACCAACAACAAGACAAAATCTTGGCAAGAGATTCAAACATTGAACAGAAAGGGAAAAGAGAATTCGGGAAATTGCAAGAGGAGAAGAAACTTCAGTGAGTAAATTAAAACACAGAGCAAGAAGAGAGACAAGGTAGTTGCATACTTGAGAAACTAAAAGCAGAGACCAATTTGAAGAAATTGCGCTATTGATTCTTGAAGAATCCACCGAGGGCGAAGAGAGATGTGGTATTCGAAGAGAGAGGGAGAGTAGTTGCATCTAATTTATTTTAGAGATTTGAAAATTTGACTAAGAGAAAAGGGAAAGAAAAAGATAGTAAAAAGGGACGTGGGGTTGGGGTCTTAGTGTTTTAGGGATTTGTTAGATGTTTTTAGTCAAAAGGAACTTCAGGAAAGAAAAAAATTAGAAATTTTAAATTAAAAGTTAAAAGCAACTTTAGAAAATAAATAAAATAGAAAATTTAATTTAAAAGAAGTATGTGGGGATGGGATTAGAACTCTGGACCAGAGACACAGAAGGGGCACTCAATCACCAATGCACCAAAGTATTCAATTGAGCATGGGTGGTCACCAATATATTTATGTATATAACTGAAAATTTTGTACTGTATATACAATTATACATAGCCTAGGGAGGGGAGCATGGGTGCATGTACCCCACCCCCCTCCACATAAATCCGCCTCTGTTTAGTAGTGCAATGAAATGGACCTGAATTGAGTTGACAAAGATAAACCTGTTGACTTCATTTTTTTGCTGAACATAGAAAAGAAGGCAATCTGAAATACGACAAAAGAAGGAACTTTTGACATTTTATGGCAGTGACTGTCTTTATAGAATATTATGTTGATCTTATCTTTCGTTTCTCTACCAGTATTCTACTATTTTAAAATATATAAATTAGTGGATTTTTGAAACGGCTGTTAGTGAAAAAGCTATACTTAGCTTTCCTTTTTGTGGGGTTGAGAGATTCCAAAGAGATGGTATCCTCTGATATTTTTCATTAATAAAAAGGGCAGCCCGGTGCACTAAGCTCCCGCTATGCCCGGGGTCAGGGGAAGGGCCATACCACAAGGGTCTATTATTGTATGCAGTCTTACCGAATAGTACTCGTCACAAATGGCAAGAATTTTGTTAAAAGCTTAGAAGCTGCATAATGCTGTAATCTATTGTTTTTAGCTGCTATTGTCTTAGATACCATGCTCTTGCAGTGTCTTTCATGGATTTGGCATAAGAAAAATGCAGTCTTTTCGGCTGTATGATCGGAGACTCGGGTCTTCCCAGATCAATGCATTTCAAGATCCATTTTTCTTGCCTGTAGTTTTAGGGTTTGATTTCGACGAATCGAGTTATGTTTTTTTCTATGGTTGCTTGCAGGCTGTGCTAGATTCCATTGGTGTTTCAATATGGCAGATGGCTGTGGAACCATGCAATACTTCGCAGCTTCATCAAAATCTTCCAAGGCAGTATGAGAATGGCCATGTTAATCATACAAATGGTGTTAGTAGTGATAATGAGAGCACTGAAGGTGAAGATGATGATGACTCGGTT